AAGGTACACAACTTGGCGAGATGAAAAAGTAATAATTAACTGATGGTGCTGGGGATGGAGTCTGGGTGGAAAAGCGGGGGGTTTCGAGGTTAAAATGATTTAAAATAAGAAGTAATTAATTTGACAAACACTTCCGAACCATTCACACGTAACTCCGAAGTGTAAGAATCGAAACCCGCCGGGTTACGGACAGCACAAGTGTAGTTGCCGCCGTGGCGGCCACGGACTGGTTCGATCTCCAGATTGTTCGCCCTACGACTGATCTTCGAAATCGACACAGCTTGATCGGTTTCAGGTGACAGTTCTTCTCCGTTGAAAAGCCATGTGAATGTTAATGGCATGTCTCCTTTTTGCACCATACACTGCACACCTACCATATCACCAGCATTGGCAGCAGTTTCCCCGAAACTAAATGGAGTTATTTGAGGAGATACTGCAACAAATCCCGAGCCTTATTTTAGGAATGGTGTAATGCTTGTTAGTTAGACCACAATAGAGCACTGTTTATTCTGCAGGATGAAGGCTTTGCAGTATCCAATTGACGTCACTATTTTAAAGATCCATCCGATGTTAAGAGGAAACATGATCTTTAGAAGAACTAACTAGATGAAGGTGATGTCTTTTGAAGATTCATCCGCCAGGAGACGAAATGGAATATACCCAAACCAACGGTACTTGCAAGAAACGTGACAGGTTTATGATAGAACAAGAGGATAGGTTTAAGGTCGAATAAGTGAAATGAAACACTGCAACCAACGTGTGAAATGTTTCCTAACCATTAACACGCAATTCAGTAGAGTACTTGTCGGATCCCACAGGATTGCGGACAAAGCACGTGTAGTTGCCGCTGTGCCGGCCGCTAACTGGCTCAATCTCTAAATTGTTAACTCTGCGGCTCATCTTTGATATCGACACAGCCTGATCATCCTCAGGATTAAGTTCTTTGCCGTTGAAAAGCCACATGATGGTTAAAGGCAAATCTCCCTTTTGAACCATACACTGCACGACACCCATGTCTCCGGCATTAGCCGCCGTATCTCCGAAACTGAATGGAGTTATCTGAGGAGCTACTGCAAATAAATTCGAATTTTATAAACATGCCAGCTGACAATAAAATTTTAAAGGAAGGTCCAACCTCGAAACTGGTAATACAGCCAGTAGTATCAGATACGACAGTAGATTTTAATGTCAAGGTTTTCACTACGCACAAAAGATTGATAGCAAGTTGCTTTCAACAGAGTTGCGATAAATTCTTTAACACTCGACTAACGTTGACATGGAAAAGCCAAATATTAGTGGTAATTTATTTACTCTAGCGATTTGTATTTTTAAAAAGTAATTTTTAAATGTAGGCAAGCGGTCAGGTTGAAGGGACAAGTGCAATAACGAAAACGAAAGCTACTTGAAACGCATTTTCTAACCATTCACGCGTAATTCAGCAGTATAAGTGTCGGAACCCACGGGGTTGCGGACAACGCACGTGTAGTTGCCGCTGTGGCGTCCACGAACAGGTTCAATTTCCAGATTATTTACTCTACGACTCAGCTTGGAAATAGACACCGCTTGATCGCTCTCAGGGGACAGGTCCACGCCGTCGAAAAGCCAGGAGATTGTCAAGGGCAAGTCGCCCTTTTGTACCATACACTGCACGCCCACCATATCGCCGGCATTCGCTGCAGTGTCTCCGAAATTAAAGGGAGTTATTTGTGGTGCCACTGGAAACAAGTGATTTTTTTTCTAATACTTGGGCAATTAAGATCTGTAAAGGTGATTAGACAGGATATACTGGTGTCCGGGCTAGAAAAAAGAAATAAATGTAAAACCAATCGCGCATAAATCCCACCATTGACGTGAAGTTCAGACGTAAAGTTGTCGGCTCCCGCTTGATTGCGAACAGAACACGTGTAGTTGCCACTGTGATGATCGCGGACTGGATAAATGCTCAGGACGCTAGACAACGTGTTCATGCGCACAATGGTGATGCCTTGCTCCATTCCCGAGCGCAGAGCGTGGCCGTTCAGGTACCACGATATCTCCATAGGCAAATCGCCTTTGGGAACGACGCACTGGGTGCCCATCATGTCACCAGCATTCGCAGGTACTTCTCCGAACGAAAACGGCATGATCTGTGGAGGCACTGCAATTGGATAGGAGCGTTCAGATAAAATCTAACGCATTTCTCTGAATAATATCTACTCTCGCAATACTCGCAAGAACACGGGACAGCACCAAAACACAAGGAAACTCGAACGAATACAAGAAGGAAATCAACAGAAAACAACTATGTTCACAGGAAGCTCCGCGGTGAAATCATCCGCCCACGCGGCGTTCTTCACTCAACAGGTGCACGTCGCCCCACGGTGGCCCGCAATTGCTGCGGCGTCCCGTTTTCGCTGCCGAGATGGCCTCGTGAGCTCGCGGGACGACCTCCCGGCCGTTGCAGCGAGAGGCCTCCCTCCGGAGACACGCACGCGCCGCTCCCCGCGCCTCGCCCACTGTGAAGGAGGACATCTGCGAAGCCATTATAATCGCATACGTCTGTGCACACAAGTCACGTGCAAAGAGGGCTTCGGGGCCGATGTTATCTCGTCGCATAGAGCGGCCAGAGTTTAAAGAATTTACTACATGACCTTACCCGCTATTCCCTCACGTGTCAGTTACACCGAAAAATGCAAAACATTTAGGAATTCGTATTATAAGTATTATTTTAATGTAACGTTATGTAAGCGCGTTCATAAACAACGGGAAATAAAACTTACAACAAAGTCTTGAGAATAGTTAAGTAATTAATTTTTTTGTTTATCTGCAGTTTATTAACTGGAAATGACCTGACCGTGTTTCTAGGTTTTTGTTTCGTGTTTCAAAGGTGAAATTGTACAATTAGAGGGAGACGTAGCATGATTCTGTAACGTGTATTTCACATTCAGAAACTTTCGAATGTTGCTGTTTTGGTTCGCTGTCCCTCGTATTTGGTGTAATAGAGCCCGTGGGTTAATTGTAAAATTTAGTTTACATACAACAAAGAAACCCAGAGACTTTTAAAACTTATAGTGTTGGAAGGCCGTAATAGGCATTTTGCCTTTAATTTAAGGAAGACAAATAAAGAAGCATGAATGGAACGAAATAAAGGAAACCAAACCAGACGGAATAACCAAAACGTCATGCTCAAGACCGAAATTCGTGAATCTGGCGCACCATTTACGTGCAACTCTGAGGTGACGTTAACAGCTCCGGCTTGGTTCTGCACGGAGCACGTATAGTTGCCCCCGTGGTGACCTCGCACTGGGTCAATTTCGAGAATGTTGTTGCGACGGCTCATTCTTGAGATAGATATCCCTTCGTGCACTCCTTCGCTCAACTCCTGGCCATTGAAATACCAAGTGAAGACCATAGGAAGGTCTCCTTTAGCCGCGACGCATGATACGCTGACTGTATCGCCAGCGTTTGACGGCTCGTCACCGAAGCTAAATGGAGACACTTGCGGCGAAACTGCAATACCAAGTAGTACACGTACATGTGGGAACCAACGCAAATATTTCTGTGAGCGATGGGGAGGGACAAGAGGAAAAGAAAGGGAAAAAAATGAACCAGTGTCTCTGAACACCATTATTGCCGAAACAACTAAGAAATATCACACCGTTTACATGCAGTTCAGCGGTGAAATTTTCCATGCCGGCCTTGTTGCGAACGGAGCACGTATAATTCCCGCTGTGATGACCTCTGACGGGGTCTATCTCTAGGATGTTGTTGCGTCGGCTCATTCGTGACACAGACACCTCCTCATGAATCCCTTCTTGGAGTTCCTGACCGCGAAAGTACCAGGAAAAGGAGATTGGAAGGTCTCCCTTGGCAGCCGCACATTGAACGCTGACCATATCCCCAGCGTTCGCTGGCTCCTCTCCGAACGAGAACGGCGATATCTGCGGAGGGACTACGAAAAAGGCAACAGACTTAAAATACGGGAATTTAATATCTTTATTCTCCGTAGAAAAAGGTTTACGTGCGAATTCTCAGACTTCAAAACAACATACAAAATATTGAAATAATGGGTACAGGGAGAGAAAAGGCATGGGAATCCACTAACATAACGCTCATAGGATTTGCAAAATCACAAATCTAAACTTGGGCCCCAACATAAAAAGTATTAAACAGCTTTTGCAGTTCAAGAGAACATGCGAACCGTTTACATGGAGTTCTGCGGTGAAGTTGTGGGATCCAGCAGAGTTTCTAACGGAGCAGGTGTAGTTGCCACTGTGGTGCCCTCTTACGGGATCGATGTCCAAGATGAACCTTCGTTTACCCGTTTTCGATATGGATATATCTCTGTCGGCACCTGAGATTATCTCCCGACTGCCGAAATAGAACTTGAAATCGAGCGGTACGTCGCCTTTGGAGACGATGCATTGAACGCCTACCATTTCCCCTGCGTTCGCCGGTTCGTCGCCGAAAGAAAACGGGGACACTTGGGGAGGTACTGAAAGCAATCAAAACGAACTCACTTCATTTTATGTTTCCTCGTTGCATTCAAACGTTAGGGACACAAAACCCACGACTTCGTACCCTGCTCTTTGCTATATTGGAATTCTTTTCCAATTTATAAGACATTTCGTCTTTTCAATGCAGTAATTTGGTACATCACGTGGTAATTGCAAGTCACTGCGTGTGACGTCCCTTAGCTGTTCTTGAAAATCGGGCTTCCTCTAAAGTTTAATAGCCTCAACTATTATAACATAATTACGATGATATTATTCAAGGTAAAGATTTTTGATTCCCAATTACGAATGCTTAAAAACGGCGTCATACACATTGGATATAGCTGCTACTTATTCAATCAATTGCGGTCCGACATTAACTATAGCTAGCATAACCTAATACCAAAAAGAAACCGTCAAGATGAGTTTGAGAATATATTTCGGAGGATGGTTAATATGAAAAGAAAGGATAATCACATTGTAGAATGTGCATTAATTAAGTATCGCATATTCTATGAAGCAAACGAAATGGAAGAGAAACGTAAAGTGCCACGCCCACCGTTCACTCGCAACTCGGCCGTGAAGCTATCGCTGCCCGCGGCGTTGCGCACCGTGCACGTGTAGTTGCCCGAATGGTGGCCCCGAACGGGGTCGATGTCCAGCGTGTACTTCCGCCTGCTGGCCTGCGATATGGAGAGCGCCTCGTCTCCTTCCGCGCTCAGTTCGTGCCCGTCCAACAGCCACGACATAGATAGAGGGAAGTCCCCTTTGGACACGATGCAGTTTACGCCCACTGCTTCGCCAGCGTCGGTGGATTCTTCGCCAAATGAGAAGGGAGTAATCTGCGGGCGAACTGAAATCACGAAGAGTGACTTGCGCACGAAAAACAGACGACTTTCACTCCACAATATCGCCGTAGAGAAATTGTATTACGGCTTCCAAGCCACACCGTCAACGGTTACGTTGATCGTCCACTCTCTTCGGAAAATGAATAAATAATTACTGAAAGTTTGGTAAATATTTTGAAAATAAATGAAAGAACAAATTAAAAGTAACATGGAAAGTTCGAGCTCTTCCTTACAATTAAAGAAACATTTATTAAATTAAAAATTCTATAATTCTCTACTGCTATAAATAGTTCTAACACAACGCATTACAGCTTCATAAATTCACAACGATATGAAATTGCACCATTGACACGAAGCTCAGCCGTGTAGTTGTCTGTGCCCGAAGCATTCCTCACGGAGCAAGTGTAGTTTCCCAAATGATGAGCTCTCACTGTTTCTATGTCCAGCATATACTTCCTTCGGCCCGATTGCGAGATCTGGATTGCTTGGTCGTCTTCTGCATCCAGGTTTCGGCCGTTTAGCAACCACGTGAAGGAGAGAGGAAAATCGCCCTTCGAAACGATGCAGTTGATGCCCACCGCTTCGCCTGCGTTGATGGGTTCGTCGCCGAACGAGAAGGGCAAAATCTGGGGCCGAACTGAAATGCCCAGTCAAACGAGGCAGTCAAGTAAGAAGGGGGACAAAAAATGGAAATACCCAAAACAAGAAGGAAGTTTTCTGGAATGAAGGGATAAATATAAAAGTTAAAGTATGTGTTGGAAAATAACGAATTGTTCCATTTTTATAATGTGGCGAGTTTATGTTCAACTATATTGCTACACCCAGGTACAAAAGTCAAAGTGACTCTTTCTATATTAAAGAAAATGTACATTAAAACACACCATTTTATTGCTTCCGGAAGAATGTATGAGTAATTACTATTCTAATTTTCAAAAATTCTAGGGTCAGAATCGAATGCGAGACGTTCTGTTCACATGAACTCCCTGATCACGAATAATAATTTCAGCATCAATGATGCAAAAGAGGAGAAGTATTCTTGCAAACCGGTAAGTGTAAACAAAGGGTAGGGTAATCAATAGAAATAAAACAGAGAAATCACAACCGAATACCATTACAAAGCATTGTGAATCACCGAAAATATATGCAAATGCTAATGGTTTGATGTTCTTCAATCTTCGCACCATTGACACGTAGCTCGGTTGTGTAGTTATCAGTTCCAGCAGGGTTCCGCACGGCGCACGTGTAGTTGCCAAAGTGATGGCCCCTGACTGGGTCAATGTCCAGCATAAACTTCCTCCGACCTAACTGAGTTATCGAGACGGCGTCGTCACTTTCAGCGTCCAGAGGCTGCCCATTCAACAACCAGACGAAAGAGAGAGGAAAATCGCCGATGGAGACAACACAAATTATGCCCACAGCACCGCCCGCATTGATAGATTTCTCACCGAACGAAAAGGGCAAAATTTGCGGCCTAACTGAAAAAAGAAACATTGTTAGTGAAGAAACAAATACTGCGCAAATATGCAAAACTGAGCAATTAGGAGTGACAACGAAAAGGTGACGGTAATATCTTCGTATCAAATGCACCAAACTAAATTAGTACTCATTTGAAAAGACAAAAATACTATTATGTCTGTTTCCCCGCCTGGTGTTTGATATGTTAGTAGATGGATGGAACGTACCAGTCATACACTAATTTTATCTCGTGAGTTATAGGCACCATTCGTTTTAGATGTGCACTTTACCCGCAGAGAACTCCGTACTAGGCCTTTTCATAATCGCAAATATTTACCATTCACAGCAGAGAATGAATCTGTGAGAATTTGAGTATCCAGGTCGTACGCTTAAAAGGAACAGACGTCAGTGGAAAGTTTAACAGGGTTTAAGTAAAGTTTATCAATCTACTGTCGAAGCACACCCTAATCTACGTAAAGAATAAACCTAAGTGCCATGAGGTTTCGTAGTCTTCAAAATCGCCCACCGTTCACACGTAGCTCAGCAGTGTAGTTGTCGGTGCCCGCAGCGTTCCGCACGGTGCACGTGTAGTTGCCCAAGTGATGTCCTCTGACGGGGTCGATGTCCAGCATGTACTTTCGGCGGCCAGATTGAGATATCGAAATTGCCTCGTCATCATTCGCGTCTAGCGGTTCGCCGTTTAACAACCAAGTGAAGGAGAGAGGAAAATCGCCGATAGATACGATGCAACTGATGCCCACGGCTCCGCCTGCATTGATGGGTTTCTCTCCGAACGAAAATGGCAAAATCTGCGGCCTAACTGAAAAGAACAGTGTAAATGAAGAATGGAATAATTGGTACAAAACTAAACATTTGTGAGAATTGATAAAAATTCTACCATTTGACATTAAATTGAAATTGTCTTAACTTAAATCTTATTTCAATTGGTGAGATTACTTCAATTACATATTATCTTCCGCTTGGATTTATAAACTGAAACTTACGGGTGTTGGGAAAGGAAATGTTGGAGGCCTACATTCCAATGTGGCATTTTGTAGCTCGTATGTTCCATCAATTCACTTTCGCTGCAAAGGAAGGTACTAAGTGTTTTTCACCATGCGAAAACTTTAGAGCTCACGAGTATGTGAACATTTGAACATCTAGATCAAACTCTTGAAGACAGTCATTAGCGGCGAGTTCAAGGACAGGGTTTGTGAATTATAATGGAAATATTTGATTGTCTAATTGGAATTGCACTACAATATACTTTAATGAGGCATTGCTCAATCTACGGAAACAATTAACAATTACTGCCACGGGGCTAGGCACTCTTCAGAAACTCCCACCGTTTACACGAAGTTCAGCAGTGTAGTTGTCGGTGCCCGCAGCGTTCCGCACGGTGCACGTGTAGTTGCCCAAGTGATGTCCCCTGACGGGGTCGATGTCCAGCATGTACTTTCGGCGGCCCGACTGAGATATCGAGATTGCCTCATCATCCTTCGCGTCTAGCGGTTCGCCGTTTAGCAACCACGTGAAGGAGAGAGGAAAATCGCCGATGGATACGATACAGTTGATGCCCACCGCCCCGCCCGCATTGGTTGGGTCTCTGCCGAACGAGAAAGGAGTAATCTGGGGACGAACTGAAATCGAAAGTTACTTTAATGATCAGCTGAAAAAAAACTAACTGCTGGGTGAGAACAATATAGCTCCACTGATTCGCAAAACAAAAAAGACTTCACCATCTAAGCACAAATTCCCGTACATAAGAGATGGAATGACACAACAGCAATAGTGATGATCCGACGAATGATAATGGGAATAACAAGCAGGGAAAACGGGAGAACCCAGAAAAACCCTGCCGAGAGCTTTCCTTGTCCCCCATAATTTCCTGACGGATTGGTCTGGGATCGAAATCAGACCCCAGTGACGGAAGGCAAATGCACTGGCCATTACGCTACGAGCCCATTACATCACACCAAAAGAATAATACAACAATGGTAGTATAATGTAAAATTATGTAGGGTGTATTTTTAATACTTTCTAAGCAAAAAGAACGAGCGAAAATACAGGACTCAGGGATAGGAAAAAAATTAAAAAACATAAATAATATATTCTATTAGGTTCCCATTTCGCTAAAAAAATTCACTTGATTAGTAATGCAAGACAATACTGGGGCGTACTGTTCACTCGTAACTCAGCCGTGTAGCTGTCAGAGCCAGCAGCATTCTTCACTACACACGTATAATTGCCCAGATGGTGTCCTCTGACGGGATCGATGTCCAGCATGTACTTTCTGCGCCCCGCTGGAGTCGCGGAGATGGCTTCGTCTGCCTCTGCGTCCAGAGTCTGCCCGTTCAACAACCACTCAAACGAAAGAGGAAAATCGCCTATCGATACGAAACACTGTACGCTGACTGCGCCCCCTGCGTTTGTGGGTTCCTCTCCGAAGGAAAAGGGCGTTATTTGTGGGCGAACTGAAATCATAAACCGCCACGTACGAACAAATAAGCGAGATAATAGAAACATGGCATAGTTACCATTTAAAGAAAAACATTTCGCCCCAAAACAAAAACAATGAAAAGATAAGAAAAAAGGCGGTAGATTCTGTTTTTCGACATGCGTAGAAAAATTATAAAAAGAAGCTAATAAAAACATTTCCTGCTTAAAGGAGTCTAGGAGAAAAGAGGACAGCTGGTACATTTCTAGAAAATTTCATTTTGCATAAAGTGGGCTTGGTGATTGCTACGACTACGTTCATAATATATTAATCCACAGAAAGAAAGATCAACAGTTATTCCATTACGAAGCCATTTTGTGCCAAATGTCCAGAGTGCTGGCAAAGCGCACCGTTCACTTTCAGCTCAGCCGTGTAGCTGTCGGAGCCCGCGGCGTTGCGGACGACGCACGTGTAATTCCCCAGATGGTGGCCCCGCACGGGATCCACGTCCAACATGAACTTCCTGCGCCCCGCGTGCGACACCGAGACGGCCGGGTCCGCCTCCACGTCCAGGTCGCCGCCGTTGAGCAGCCAGGTGAAGGCCAGCGGCATGTCGCCCTTCCACACCACGCATCCGACGCCTACGGCTTCCCCGGCGTTCGTGGGCTCCTCGCCAAACGAGAACGGGGTGATCTGTGGCCGGACTGAAACGGCGGGAGGGTTTCAAGCTCGTTCAAGAGACAACTCGCCCTCTCCGAAACATTACAAGCGGGCCAAGGCCTGTGGACCCGACACATTTTCAAGGTGAAGTGCGGAAAAACGCTGATTGTCTGCTCTACATAAAAATCAATGAACAAACAAAAACGTATGACGGGTTGGTCTGAAAACACCGACCGTAGGTCCACAATTAGTGTTCCACAAATCACGTTCTATGAACGTTCAATATGAACATGCAACGGAATATCGATTTATTGTGTTAGTTATCAAATGCATTAGGGGAACAGTCACCGCAATTACCTTCCCAAAACTCGAGCTGGCATATACCAATTTTGAATGCGTGTCAAAACACACGTTGATTGCACTATACGGGATGATTCGCTTCACCTGCGTAAAGTATCTCCACCAACAGATTCGTAACTAGATGATAAACATAATAACTCTTGGCCGTTTTTCTCGCATAAACATAGTTACTTGGATTTTTAAAAAAAAATTATTGTGGATCATTCTGTAATACTAATGTAGGCTCGGCTGAACCAGACAAGAAGTGATACAATACAGGCCGCCATTCTCTGACAGCAAATTGGCAGAATTTGTATTTTCGTTGTGTGCATGAGGAAAATTAAGATTTACTTCTCGTGAAGAATAGAAGACTTGCGCCGCATCACTCTATACATGTCGACTTCTACGGCTGTCATCAATTCACCAACCATTCACCTCTGTAGGTGTATGGTATGTGAATTGGTATGGTGTATGGTAAGGATGATGTTCAAGAATTAACCCTCAAGGGTAGCTCATTCGTCAGCGTCCTCGGTTTCCACAACGCGACCCCGGGTTCGATTCCCTGTCCGGAAAGATTATAACGTGCGTTTTCCTCGCTATGCTCCAGTGTAAGTTGCTGTGTGACGATGAGAAAACTCACTTCTTAGGTTCATAATAGAGCGCGGGATATCTTGTTCTAACCACACGTACCCTTTAACCCATGGCCACAAGACCGAGGCGCAGCCGGTAGGCAGAGGCAATATAACAATTATATATTTATATGTATAGGATGCATATACACTATATAAAGTGCATAGTTGTTAGACAATAGCTCATTACCGGAGCGTTTGATAGTAAAATGCTCACAGATCCACAACGCGTCGGTGCTGATTTTAGGCGAGTGAAGCGAATCCTTCGGTGTAGTGATTAATTAACAACTAAATATGCCGCCACCCATAGTTCCTCAAATGAACATACTATGTTCCACAATGTCATGGGTGTCAATAATCTAGATCGATACTCTCACAAACCTGAATAGAAGTTCACATATCGTGAATTATCATTCTTATCTTTTGCTTTGTCCCATAAATGTATTTAATGTAATAATGCATTCAATGTTTTTACTCTTATGTATTTAAGAAAGAATATTAAATGGCGAAAATAAGCGTTTTTAACTAGTTGAAAACCTAATTTACATGATTAAGTGTGCATAATTTTGTCGATGAGAAAGACTGCAAGATGCACAAAAATATCAAATTGTTAAAAATTCATCTTGGCGGGGAAATTAATTATTCCCGACGACTAAATCTAATCCTCGGGCCTTTCAGTGCACAGATGATTTCGGCACATTTCTTCTCTTTGTACTATTATAGATGTAATAATCCGTTTTCAATAGTTAATCAGAAAATCAATATAATATCCAGCATTTATTTCTGGCATAAAACTAATTTGTAACGCAGATGTCCTATGTATTTAGGTGGCTAAATGATATACCTAAAGTAGTCGGTATCAGCATTTATCTCCATGAAAATTCGTAATAAATTACATTTCTTAGCGATAAAATAATACATGCAAATACATAATGAATAAATATTGGGTGTGGATTTGGTGATAAATGGATAAATGATTAAAATACGAAGAGGCTGGATCTTTGGTTAGTGGATTTCAGCACAAGAAAAGAAAAATATTGCGGAAAGCAGCAGAGACAAGTAAACGTTCTCGATAGGCGCACCATTAACACGCAGCTCGACGGTGTAGCTGTCAGAGCCAGCGGCATTGCGTACAGTGCAAGTGTAGTTGCCTAAGTGATGCCCTTTCACAGGGTCAATATCCAAAGAGTTCTTGCGGCGAGTGATCTGGGATATAGAAATGGCTTCGTCAGCTTCTGCATCTAAGTCTTGTCCGTTCAGCAGCCAAGAGAAAGAAAGTGGAAAGTCTCCCTTCGACACGATACATTGCACCCCTACAGCTTCTCCAGCGTTGGACGGTTCTTCGCCGAAGGAAAATGGAGTAATCTGTGGACGAACTAAAACGACGAGATAGTTACTAGGTGCCAAACAAAATATTAAAAACATTTCCTCGCAGAACAACGTATTCAACAGTTTTTGTTGTCTTTTTGTAGCGAACACGGGCGTATCGAGATTTTTTTGTAACTTCTTCGGGCTCTTCAAAGGGCAACGTTGCAATCAAGTTCCCAAGTTCACCGACAGTTATTTTGAAAGTCTAACAAAAATTCGAATTTCCTTCGACATAACCAAAAGTTATAAGTATCGATTTTATTTCATTATACAACGATGACGATGAAAAATATCACAAGAGAAATATTAAATGTTTCGGTGATTGAAGAATTCGGCAATGGGTCCCGAGGGCCGGGATCTGGAAAGACATTAACAAAACGTGTTCCATACAAACGGAAGTTCTTAGAACAGGCGTGATATATGAGTGCTGACAGAAAATTCGAGTCGTGTTGTCGGTCATCTGACTTGGTCGTTTTCGATGTTTCCTGATACTAGGTGTAAATTCTAGATCAAAATTCGCACAACGAGCCAATATTCCTCTCTTAAAAGTTCCTATTCTCGACGTATGAGGCGACTGATCCATCAATAGCACACCACTCTTCCCCCTCAATAATAAATGTTCCTGCAATACAGTTAAAATATCGGCGGCATTACCTGTTGCAGTATAAAGGAGGCGTGATAAAGAAAACTATCATACATAAAATTAAAAAACAACTGTAAAACATTTACTAGCACGAAGAGACGAAGAACAGTACACAAAATGTATTTTAAAATCTCCGACTTACATCGTCCAAACTAAACAAAATAAGATTGACTTTCAATAAAGCTTGAAAATTAAATACGGATAATCAATAAATTATAAAAATATCAGCACAATTTAAACACGAACTTAACATTTCGCCGAAACGAACTATTTTATGGACGGTGCGATTTAGATTCCAAGAACACACACAATATTTTTGAACGGGTTATAAATGTTCTTATTCACGCTCGTATATTTTCTGTTGACATTCATTTAATAAGAAGCTATTATTATTCATGAATTTTATGAAATAGTACAATTCAAACTTCCTTCAAATTATTTTATTAACCACAAAATATTTCATATGAAGTCATTGGGATTTATCACATTTTGTGAACTGTTCTTGCGGTAAAAATGCTAGTAAATATAAGGAACAACTGACAAGAAAACGACTAGCAAGAATGAATGAACAAAAAAATGTAAATGACAAAGCAGGATCCTTGCAGACCAAAGGTTCTTGAATGGCTTTAAGATTACTTACTACATAAGAGTTTTAACAAAATATATTAAAGGCTCTATTTTTATATTGTAATTTCTGTCTGAATTCTGGCCATTTATCACATTTATGCTAATAAATATTTTACTTTATTTTTGTTCTAACAATAAATCAAGCAGTCGCAACATGCATTTCGAAAAAGCACAAAATGCTTATGTGAAGTAATTTTGAGTGTCGCAAAAGAAATGAGTACATTTTAAGGTCTAAGTGTAGATGCCTCGAACGACTTTGTCAGGATTTTGTAATACAAATTAATGATTTCAATAAATTTAATGAATTTATTGATTTCAATGAAATTCGTAGCGAATTCACTACGAAACTCTTTGAAATCGAGAATGCAGATGCGACTTATGTTGTAAACAAGAACGCACATTTTTCTGAATTAGATTATTCCGTAAATTTGTAGTTTTCCACAAAACGTTTGCGATCTACATTAACCCTGCGTCAGAACAGTTCAGAACCGCTGGTCTACAGACTTGCGCACACTACAGGCGCACCGTTGACGCGCAGCTCGGCCGTGTAGTTGTCGGCGCCCGCCGCGTTGCGCACGGAGCACGTGTAGTTGCCGCTGTGGCGGTCGCGCACGGGGTCGATGTTGAGGGCGCTGGCGCGCCGGCTCGTCTGCGAGATGGTCACGTCGCGGTCCTCGCCCGTCTTGAGCTCGCGCCCTCCAAACCACTACGAGATGGCGAGCGGCGTGTCGCCGACTGGGACGATGCACTGGGCGGCGATCATGTTGCCAGCGTTGGTGGCGTCTTCGCCGAACGAAATCGCCATGATCTGTGGTCGAACTAGAATCATCCCGGTTCACCTGCTGTACCTTCCTAGCCTATACACAACCAACTGGGATCAGTATCCCGAGTAATGATTGAATAATTATTTTAAAAATCAGAAGACACTTAGTGAATTTCGCAGAAAATGCTGAGACGCTGGGTTGTTTACTGTTTACTATAACTTCTCTAGTTTGCTAAAACTGTCCCTTCCTAATTTTATTTTCAATTTCTTATGTGGAAATTAAAGTCAGATGTATCTTCAAAAATAGGAGGAAATGACTATACAAATGTAAAAAGATAAGCTACATAATATCAAATGTACGGAAAAATAATATGTTTCCACTGTTAGAAGGAAAGCAATGTAGATTCTTTTATATTTTAATTCTCCGTTATTAGTAAACGCAAATTTTACTGCCTACTCATAACATTTATGTACAAAATTCTTCTTGTAAAGTATCGTAAATCTAGCCACTATAGAGCATTACAAAATGTTATAAACCAACTGCCACATAGATGTAGGAGTTATGTTAATCATACGACCAATAAAATGTAATCCATTTTGTCGAGTCATACAATTTTTAATATCCTCACACCAATTAACCTGAATGGAGTAATCTATTTTTGATCACATGTTCCACGTC